TCCAAAAAAAAAAAAAAAATTAGCTGGGCGAGGTGGCACATGCTTGTGGTTCCAGTTACTTGGAAGACTGAGGCGGAAGGATTGCTGGAGCTCAGCCGATCAAGGCTGCGGTGGCCATGAGTGTGCTACTGCACCCAGTCTAAGCGACAGAATGAGACTCCGACTCAAAAAAATATTTTTTTGTAAATGAAATTTTGCTTATTTTGGGGGTGTCTCACTAAGTTGCCAGGCTAGTCCGCCATGTACTCCTGGGTTCTGGGCTTGGATTACTCTTGGCTTAGCCTCCTGAGTAGCTGGTACTTCTGCAGAGCAGAAGTGGTTTTTTTGTTGTTGTTTTTTTTGGTTTTTTTTTTGAGTTGGAGTCTCACTCTGTCGCCCAGACTGGAGTGCAGTGGCCACTCCCGGCCACCGCAGCCTCGACCTGCTGGGCTCCGGCCATCCTCCCGCCTCAGCCTCCCCAGTAGCCGGAATTACAGGCATGCGCTACCACGCCCGGCTGATTTTTTGATTTATTGTAGAGATGAGGTCTCGCTGCCCAGGCGGGTCTCGAACCCGCGGGCTCAGGCAATCCACTCACCTCAGCCTCCCAAAGGTGCAGGATTACAGGCTGAGCCACCGAGCCCGGCTGCCAAGAAGTTTTATAAATGTACATGGAGTGGAATCCTGACTCTTAATGTTCTTTTATTGTTGTTGTTGCAGAGATAGGTTCTTTCTGTGTCACCCAGAGTGGGGTACAGTGGTATGATCATAGCTCCTGCAGCCTCAAACTCCTGGGGTCAAGCAGTCCTCCCCAGTTAGTTGTGGATATATGTGCCCACCAGAATACCAGCCTACTTTTTTTTTTGAGTCAGAATCTCACTCTATTGCCCAGGCTGGAGTACAGTGGTTTGCTCACGGCCACCGCAGCCTCAACCTGCTGGGCTCAGGTGATCCTTCTGCCTTAGCCTTCCAAGTAGCTGGAACTTGAGGCATGCGCCACCATGCCTGGCTAATTTTTTGATTTATTATAGAGACGAGGTCTGCCAAGTTGCCAGGCTGTTCTTGAACTCTTGGGCTCAGGCAGTCCTCTTGCCCCCGCCTCCCAAAGTTCTGGGATTATAGGCGTGAGCCACCACTAAATTTTTTTTAGAAACACAGTCTCACTATGTTGCTCAGACCATTAAAATACTTTTAATATATAGTGGATGATGAAGAAGCGCTGAAGTCACATATGCTAACTTGTATTAAGATGCATGTAGTTGATTCATGCACTATTTTCTTTCTTCCTTTTTTTAGATTGAAAAATATAGTTTATTTAGAAAGTAAATTAGAGAGATAGAGAGTTTGCGATTCACCTCCCCAAGGAAGGGGAGGGTTCCAAAGCCTAGGAAAACATGGCCTGGTCATAGCTCAAAGAACACGTGGCTAGACCATAACTTAGCAAGGCAATGAATGGCCCATGCACTATTTTCAAATTGTACCCCATTGCGTACAAAGAAGGCCATGGCGACTCTTGAGATTTACATTTCATAAAAATGGAAAACCACTGGGTTTTCCATAACTGTACATACATCTAACAAATCATCGTGTTTCTCTTTTTTTTCAAAACCCATTATTAAAAGTGAAGAAAATATAGATACAAAAACAAAAAACAGAGTATCTGTATGTACTGTAGACCATTAGCTACTAAACACTACTAAACACTCCAAATTATATTGTTCTATTTAGGGGCTAAGAATCAGCTGAAAAAGTCAAGTCTGATCATATAAACATACTGGAATTTTACCATGTGGGAGTAAGGAAAGGAAACATCTTTGCTATTTTTCATTGTCCTTTCTTCCTCTACCCTTGTACCTGCATCAGCTTGTGACCTCCATGACTCAGTCAAGGATGCTCATAGCCTAAATGCAAAAGAAGCCTAAGGTAATTACTTTTGAGCTTCCAGAGACCCAAATTCTACTATGTAAGTGATTTTTCTTTTCTTTTTTTTTTGAGTCAGAGTCACACTCTAGCTGAAGTGCAGTGTCACGCTCATGGCCACTTTAGCTTCGACCTGCTGGCTGCTGGGCTCAGGTGATCCTTCCACCTCAGCCTTCCTTTTTACTTATTTATTTTATTGTAGAGATGAGGTCTTGCCAAGTTGCCCAGTCTCAAACCCCTGGGCTCAGACAATCCTCTCGCCTCAGCCTCCCAATGTTCTGAGATTATAGGCTTGAGCCACCTTACCAGGCCTCTTTCTAATATTTTCTTCTTTTTTTGAGTTGGAGTCTCACTCTGTCGCCCAGGCTGGAGTACAGTGGTACACTCACTGCTCTTGCAGCCTTGACCTGCTGGGCTTAGGTGATCCTTCTACCTCAGCCTTCCAAGTAGCTGGAACTCCAGACACACACCACCACGCCCAGTTAATTTTTGTGATTTATTGTAGATGTGAGGTCTCACCAAGTTGCTCAGGCTGGTCTCAAACCCTCAGGCTCAAGCAGTCCTCTTGTTTCAGCCTCTCAAAGTACTGAGATTACAGGCTAAGTCACCACGCCCGGCCCTCTTTCTAGTCTTTTTTTTTTTTTGAGTTGGAGTCTCATGCTGACAACCACTGCATCCTTGACCTACTGGACTCAGGCAATCCTTCTGCCTCAGTATTCCAAGTAACTGGAACTATAGGCACACACCACCATGCCCGGCTAATTTTTTTTGTTGTTTATTTTAGAGAAGAGGTCTCGCCAAGTTGCCCAGGCTGGTCTTGAACCGATGGGCTCTGGCAATCCTCTTACCTCAGCCTCCCAAAGTGCTGGGATTGTAGGTGTGAACCACTTGGTGGGCCCTTCTTTCTAACCTTT